AAAAAAAAAAAAAAAGATTGATTAGTGAAATTAAAGAATGATTTAATAAAAATCTGAATGATTAGTAATTGTCTCTAATTGGCCTGTTTAGCTAAGCCCTCAAAATGCTTATTATTTAGTGGTACAGTATTGCATGATTTGTAGATTATATTTAATAGTTTACACTTTGCATAAATGTTTGCAATTAGTTTTTAAAAGGCAACATTACATTCTTAAGGTTTCTATACTTACATTTCTTTTCAGGAGCACTTGTGCTCCTACTTAAAAAAAACATTAGGAACACCTTCTGATCAATGACAGAAATTAACCTTCCTATTATAAGGCGATATTTGACTGCTTAAAGGTAAAAAAAAATAAAAATAAATAAAAACCTTTGTAATGCCTACTTTATTAAATGCATGCCATCTTTTGTGCCAAAAAGTGTAGACTTATAAACTTTTAGCAAAACATTTAATTAAACAATAAATTCAATTAAAATAATAACATACAATCAGGAAGAATAAGTTACTAGTCAAATTAAATCAGCATTAACAATTCATCTTTGCACAGCATAGAAGAGCACAAATGTGGCATTACAGACTTTTTGACAAGACTCAGAGGTGGCATTAATGCATTCTATAATAACAATGTTATGAGATTATTGTTTTAAATATAACGTTTTGAATATAGAAGTATTAAACGATTTAAATGACTCAATTTATACTTGAAATTTATCAAATGAAACTGAAACCGCCAGTAGGTGGAAGCAAGTAACTGTCTTTGTCACTGAATCATTCATTCAACTGATTCGTTCAAACAGCTGATTCATTTAGGATCGAAACAAGTGACTCTCTTTATGAATGGGTCATTGAATCATTGACTAACTAGATTTGTTCAAAAACGCAGATTCATTCATAAACGAAACACAGCTGTGTTTGCTTGGAGATGCGCAGCAGCTCAGCTGTGATTTGTTTGGGACTATTATCGTTGATGAAATGGAGCACAATCAGACAACAGTGTTCCTAAAATGTAAGTCACTTAATATTAACTTTTGTTTAAAATAAAAAATGTATACAATTGTCGTATAAATTCAATTTCACATTTGCAAACTCCCTTTATAATCATTAAAAGCTGTCACTCGTCTTAGTTCATCGCGATCTCACCAACTGTCCATTTTAATGAATGAAGCTCTCTACACTGCATAATGAATCTATTATTTACATCGTCTCTACACTTCGTTTGTTATAATGAATGAGAAAAACTGCAGTCTGCTTTCACAATCTGTGCTGTGAGGAGCAGCACGCGCACCAATAGAGAAGCATTTCCATTGGCTGCAGTCTGCAGGTATTATGGCCAATCACAAAAGACGGCCTAGGTTTATTTGGTTTATTTGGACATTAAGTGATTAAAAAATCGTATCACCCAAATAATAATCCAAATTAAAAAATCTTATCACCCATAACTTTTTGTATTTCATGTCAGTTTATTTATTTAATTGTTAAGTCAATTTGAGTCCAGATCACCCAGTTTAATTTTATGATAATGACCAGTAGGCTATGTTATCCATCACACAGTAGGCCTATTTCTTTCATGTAAATAATGTGAGCTCAATAAGAAAATGTACACCTGACTGTAAAACACAGCCATTAAAGGTACAAAATACGCGCACAAAAATAATCATTAAATAGTATTAGCAGAAATATTACAAATAACAAGTAGGCTAATATAGGATTGATTGTATGACAGCTTTATCCACATTCATAAGAAACAACTTGGCAATAAAATGCGCATAAAACGTGAGATGTAAGACACCTTAGGCGCATATAAACGGGACATTCTACCAGAAACGTACATTTCCACTTGTCAAAATCTTGGGTGATTCAAATATCTTATTCTTAAATCTGAACGTTGAGTCATATGGAGGACATGTTAATCTATATGAAACACATATCATGCCATCTAAGCATGTTTTTATGATTTAAATAAATAAATTTTTATACGCATTTCATCCCTAAAATGTCAGGCCCTGTCACAGACAAATTTGTATATGTTAGAATGGTTTCCTAATGAATTTCTTTGATACAAATAGCATTTTCTTATTGGTCACATGTCTCTGATTGTATCTAACATGGTTCTGTAATTTCTATAAGGAATATAAGCAACTTTTCGGTCAACTGTAGTAAACAAAATCACAGAATACCCCGCCAGGCACTCGTATAGTTGTAAAAAAACTGCCTTTACATAGGAGATTTTTTCAAAAACATAGTAGTGGATATATACTCCAACCTTCATCTACACAGTTACAGAGATTAATTCATCAATATTTCCTCAAATATTACATTTTTATAACATAATTTCCTGTGTGACAGGACTGACCGAGGCGTGACAGGACTGACGGTGCTGTGACAGGACTGACTTTATGGATTTCGTTGATGCAGAAAAAGTTATGTTTTGTGTTCTTTATTTAAGTTATGATAAGCGTTCCTATTTTAAATTATAATTATAATTTTAATGTTAATGTAATATTAGACTATGGTAAAGTTCAGCCAAGGACATATAATAAGGGCCTAATTCATTAGAATATGACTGACAAATTAATAAACTAATTTCATTTTATTTCAATATAAAAACATATTTCATTTAACAATTTATTAAAATTCCATTTAACAATAACATGGCCAGATACAATAAAAATAAACAACTAGAATTGCACAATGGCACAAACACAGACAGGAGTGAAAACAAAATTGTAATGGTACTACTAATATGTTAAAATTAATTTAACAATAACAATTACCAACTTGAATGGCACAAACTCAGACAGGAGTGAAAACAATAACCCTGTGTTGTGCTACGCGTACGTGGGTGTAATAAATATAAATATAACTTCATAATATATAAAGTATATTTTACTATGATACAGCAAATGTATAGACATTTAACTGAATAGCACAAAGTAAAGTAACTGTGGTACCACATAATATTACGGCTCAGTAATAACAGGGCAATACTATGGTAATATCTGCATTATTACTTAGGAAATTACATGGTAATAAC